CAGTGAATCCTTTTTAACACTTCATTTGTCACATAAATGGTTATTATATTTTTATAATGATTTCACTCATAGTTTTTGATCGCATTATAGGTCAGAATAAGTGATATTGAAATGAATGGCTTGTAATGAATGAGAAAATTGGTTGATGTCGTGAACCAAACGATTTATTTATTGAAATTCAAAACAGAGAAAACGAGAAATTGAATTTGCATTCAGTTTTATAGGCTATTCACAGTCATATAAAAGTTTTCAACAAATATCAAAATGTTAAATTTAAATTCAAAATTAATGAACATTTTGGTATTAATTCTTATTTTTTATGGAATTCGTTTTCTAAAATGTTTATATCCTGATAAGTTAATGTCAAGAATTGTATGTAATTGTAGTACTGTGTTAGATGTTTTGTTTTACTCTCATTTTTCCGATTCAACCCTTTATTTCATTTGAAAGCTTATGCATGGATTCTGTAGGTCTGCCTAATGTTATATAATGTATGGTTTGGTTGAGTGCCAGTGTTTGCATCAAACCTTATTATAAATCAAATTTATATTTAGAATCCTTGAACTTCATTATAATAACCCATTTTATGATTTTAATAATCATTATATAAAGTGNAAACCTTATTATAAATCAAATTTATATTTAGAATCCTTGAACTTCATTATAATAACCCATTTTATGATTTTAATAATCATTATATAAAGTGTGTTGAGTTCAATACCTGTCCGTTAATCCACTTATTCTTATTGTTTCTACATTTATATTTAGTTTGCTTTCATTAATAATACAAATAAGTGATTGCCAATGACTATTACCGTAAATCATTTAGAAAATACATATCAATTTTATCTAAACGAGAATTAGTGATTATATGGTTAGACAATCATATTTGAATACTATTCTATAATTTCTTTAATATAATCATTAAATTTCTATTTTTAATTTTTTTTATGAATTCTATCTGTTTATTGAATCGACAATTTTGTCACTTAACACAATACTGTTTTGGCAGATATTTAAATTGTCGATTCATTTGTATTCATTATAATCTTATTTGAAAAGACAATCACTCTTTGTTTTCATACATTTTAGCCACAGTTTCATTCATTTACGTAACATTCGTATGATTTCACACAAAGTTTGCCAAAATCTCATTTACTGTACGTTTGCATTGAATTGTATTGAAAACGCAAAAGTACTTATAAACAGAATATGACCTTGTTTACTCGCAAAATTATTTTCAAAATTTAACCTTTTTGTCACTATAAATGTTTGATAAGATTATTGTAGTTTTTAATTCACAAAGTTATGTCAAAATATAACTCATTTATTAGTGTTTTCTAATGGATTCAATTTTCTAACTGTTCTTGATACAGTATGAGTGCAAAAGAAATTATTTTACAACAATTTCTTAACTATTGTTTGAATGAGAAATAGATTTTTAACTAAATTATGTTTTCATGTCTCTCACAAACACTGGAAACCGGAATACAAAATAAACCAAAACTAAAATTACTGTCAAATTCGTGACAAGTTTTTCTGACAGACAATACAGTCATTTGATGACAGAATTAAAGCAAACATTTGCAAAATATATAATGAAGTGGTTTTCAATGGTAGACGAAGTGTAAGAAAAGTATTTTAAGTATTCAATGAAATTGTGAATTGAATTCAATTTTCACTTCCAATACATTGTACGGAAAAAATGAATAAATTATTCAAAAGTAAAATAATTTCAAGAAAAGGTGAACGACTTTCACTGAGAGAGACATACAGAGAGAGTGGCAATAGGTTTGCAATGGTTTTCAATGGGTTTGCATTGGATTTGACGCAAACTCTCACCAAAACTATAGACAAAATATTTTTCAATGAATTTTTGGTTGAATTGCAAAATATTGGGAATTAAGAGGAGTTTAAGTGCTATTTATGTGAAGGCTTGACGCCATTGACAGCAATGGGTGTGTTGTTAGTAAAGGGCCCGAAGTGTAGGTCGCAGTGATTGTTTCACAACTGATGTTTGAGTGAATTCATGAACACTTCACACAAGCATTGATTGACTCGACTCTCACTCACTGTCATCGGTCTCATTGGTCTCATCGGTGATCATCACTTGAATCGCTTCCAACACTCCACTCATCCATCGATTGCGACAAAGCGCTGAATACTGTTCGGGAAACGATCGCCACATCAGTGCCACCTTGGACACCTGAGACACGTGTGAAGCTCACTGACGATTTGGTGGTAAAACGTGGTCTCCATTGGACTCATTGGACTCATTGGGTGACACATCGTCGGCAATGCCGGTGCGGTCTTCGGCGGAATCGCAATGCTCTCAGACGCAGGACATGGAGGCGGACGCCTGCAACTGCTCTGATGGCAGATGTCATGAATCCGATAAACTCTTCAAAGATTCTCAACAAAACTCTTCGAAACAACAACTCATTCAAAGCAAACACACGTTAAGAGGGGTTCCGCTAATGGCTTCGCGTATGTCTTCGCCATTGTCTCTGTTGTCCACTAATTAATGCCTCATTTGCTCGCATTGTTGCCAACAGACCGACAGCTGGGAGTCACTCAATCTCTTCTGTACAACGGATCCAAATTCGGTGGACACCAGAAGTCCAAAGGGAACTGTTATGACGTCGAAGTCGTCCTTCAAGTAATCAAACCATTTGTTTGTCTTCTCATTGTTTACATTAAACTCATTATCAATCAAATGATACAAAGTTTTGTTGATTTGTTTCCTATAAATAACTCCGATATTAGTGTTCATTAAATATTATTCCTCTCATTATCTGTACTCACAATCAATGGACACAAGAATGTGGATGAAATCAACTCATATCTGTGCGGTTACTTAAAAATCAAAGGTATGTACCATTGAATGAGTGATTGAATTGTCACTTAAATTGGTGTTTGTTGCTCAGGACTCACTGAAGAGTATCCAACTCTGACCACATTCTTCGACGGAGAGATTATATCCGGAAAATACCCGTTTCTCACCCGAAAGTGGGACGCCGATGAAGAGGTGGACCGCAAGCATTGGTCCAAGTTTTTGCAGTTTTATCAGTTATCAAAACAGTTTAATTGTGATAATTTTGATTACAATCAACTCATTGGCACTGACTTTGTATTCATGCGATGGAAGGAACACTTCTTGGGTTAGCATTTGTTGTTATATTATTTTATTTGTAAAGAGAGAGAAGAAGTGAATGTGTTGTGGATTTTGATGACAAATGTGTGAAATGTATGCAAATTATGTGTGAGAGTCGAGTCATTTGCTGCGATGTCTCCTTTCGCTCTCCTCTTCACGGGTTTTCGTATTTCGCGGACATTCTTCAACTGATCCATCATTTGCTTTAACTCCGAGTTCCCCGTCCGCAGCTCTTCAACGATGCGGTGGTCGGAGGGGTTGGGGCACAACAAGTGCTCCATCACTGGTAGTGCTTATACTACTCACGAGTTGTTTCCAAATGTCTTCAGTACTAATCACTGAATGTGTTGTCAACTGAATGTCAATCAAGTGTTGGAACGAATGTGTTGTGAATGCAGTGAATGAGAGCTCAAAATGAATGCCAACCGAATGCTCGCCAACTCTGACATCGAAATTAAAATACTTTTATTTTTGTCTCTTTTCTTAGTTCCCGATCACACCATCAAAGTAATGATCAGTTTGTCATTTATTTGTTTTTAATACCAATTTTTAAATACTTTTATGTTTTCTCATTACCCTGATACCCTTTGATCTTCTCATTAAAGGACATAAACGGCGCAAGGTTAGTTGCACTTTGCTATTACTGTATTTGTATGAAGTGAAATATATTTATTTAACAATTTATCAAAATATTCAATTCATTTAGTTTTGCCGGTTTTTACTACATATGTTTCACCAAATCTAACGCCACTATTGAGGGCTATTACTATCACAGGCAGTCCGAGTGGTAAGTCGTGTCCACTAGTGTTCAGTGAATCGTGAATTTAATTTTGAATAATTTCTTCATATTTTGTTTAACTAACCGTTTGCTTGATGTCATACAATAGGTATCAGTCGTTGACTTTAGTTCACATACCGGAGCACTCGATACAGATCTATGAGTTCCGCTAAATAACAACAAAAAACTTTGAATTGCTTAAAAAAGATTGTGTAATTTTAAAGCAGTTTTTGTTTACTCCAAATGCAAAGCCAAACATAACAACAAACTGTTTGACAGAAAAACGAAGCAATTTATGCCGACTTTGATTTTAATTTATTAATTTATTTTGTAATTATTATTATTTTTTGAGTTCTTATTAATTATAAACTGAATTATATCTACACTTATGTTACAAAGCGTACAAAAAACCTGATGAACACATGAGCAGAAATTATTGTATAATTTGTTGTTGTGTTTGTTTCATGAAAATTCTCTTAATTTTTGATAAAAGCTTTGAAATTATTTGTGAATCGAAGAGAAGACTGAAAGTCCTTTTAATTATTTTTAGTATTATTACCGCTTTTGAACACAAAAATTCGGTACAAATAGTTTTTTGTTGGTTTTGAACCAGAATTTGATTTGTTTTTATCGATCACTTCTCCAATGTTCACAATTTGTTGATTTGTTGAAACATTTTTGTATTCTCCCTCTCATTGAAAACTCCACTTCCCTTTGATTTAACTTCCCTTACTTTGACTAACACTTTGGAAACTATGTTTTCACTTTGTTTTATGAATTTTATTCAACATATTCTTGACGTTAAGACAAGTGTTTTAGCAATAAATATGTTTTTTAATGAAAGACATTTATTTTATTTGCAATTTTAAAATAAAACAAAATTTGTGTACAAATATACCGTATAATAATAGTCGTGTATAAGGAATATGCGGTAAGAAAATTAAAAATACATGATTATAGTGTATAAGAATATAAAAATTGTTTAAAACTTGATTTTGAAATGATATCTTACTGTATATTAAGAAACGACTGCAAAATGCATACAAAGGTATGAAAGAATATAAATTATTTTTAAAATGTTATTATAGACTAGTAAATCAATTAGCAAAGCTTTAAATTGTAATGAAATTACATAAAAAGTATAAAAATTACAAATATTATTGCAGTCAAGACTAGTATATCAGTAATTAATGTATAATTGAGCGTAAAATCAGTCAATAGATTCATTGCAAACAAGGGTCGCCAGTGTTTTATATGAAAAGCTTTACAATTATACTCAAAATAATTGAACTGATTTTAAACCTCAAAATATGGCTATAAATAAGGAATTATTGATAACTAATGATAATACTGTATAAAATCTTGTGATAATCGACTAAAGTTTGGAATATATGGCAACAAAATAACACAATTCATTGAATGTTTAGATTTCAGTTTAAAACAAACTTTTCACACAATTTCACTATAGATTAGAATCGGATTCGCAAATAAAATCAACAAATGTTTCGATTATTAAATAATCGATTTCTTCAACATTTCATTAATACTTTCAATTAAAACAATCATTATTTTCGAGTTTCGTTCAGCTCTTCCTTTAAAGCGTTTCTAAAATATTCTTCAAAAACAAGAAAACAGTGGAAATGTAACTCTATTTCGGAAGTGGAGTTCGTAAGGAATGGTTGATATGGCAACAGAAGACTACAAGACATTAAATTTACTATTAATTTAAGACTTAATCCTAGAATTGGACGTCTGGTTCACATTTTCTGACTAAAGCTGCGATTATTTTATCAAATTTCTCGAACTTTTCATCGTTTTCGACATCAGATCCCCGAAAACCGAAGAGAAACTGTCGATGAAATTCTGTTTGAAACATATCTGTCAACAGTTCCTCGAACAGTATGTCGTCCAACACTACCCGACCATTGCGTCGATAGTTGCCTAACTGTTCAATAAGTTGTGGTCCGGACTCTAAATGACTAAATATTTGTTGGAGACCACAATCCACTGATGTCTGTTCGAACCATAAGCCCAACGATTCCGACTGTTTTGATATCATCTTATCGTTTGCCATTTCTTTCTGTTTAACAATATCTGAATGTCTTTCCAGTATTTGCATTAACGTCAAAATGAATGGAAAGCATGTATTGGGAGCTAAATGAAGACAATATTGAAAGTTGGGTTCAATAAGAAATTACTCTCAATTCAATGGATTGTAGCAAACCTTGAGGTTCTGTGCATTCAGTCATAGACTTCAGTTGAGGTCGAAGTTTAGTCTCATAAGTGATGGCATTTTTAGTGAAGTCTCGTCTGACAATCGCCCAAATGGTCTTCAGTTTGAGAATTGGTTCCATAGAAAGCGCTTCCATAACGGCTCCGAAGCCAAACAGGTCTCCTAAAGCGGTCTTCACTTCAATGGCAATTTCAATCCATTTATTCAAAATCAGAGCTCTTTTTTCGTCATTAATTGCCGTCAAAATAGTGATACAAATAAAATATTTCAGACATTTGTGTCTTTCGAGTAAATCTAAACGCATTTGTTGTCCGTTTGGCAGAAGAATCAATTCAAACGCCGAAGAAATTCCTAAATTGAATCTATAGTTGGCATCAAATAGTCGGATGAATTCGAGGTCACATTTGGCTAAATGATTGGCCAGAATTCGAGGTCCAGTGTCCGACAGAACCGATTGGATCTTAAATGAAAAGGTTTTTCTGTATTTTCTCTATAATTCACTTCAATTAGAGTTTTGTGTAAATATAACAAAAGACTATATATTTTAGACTCAAACCAATAGTCATATCATTACCTTAATTACGGCCGAAGCGTCTAAAGGCTTATTGTCTTTCGGGAGTAGATATGTATGAAATGTTTGCGCTTTTATTAGCGATGAATAGGTGGGCGGACGCAGTGTTGGAACAGCTTTCGTGTCACTGTTTTCTGTCTTTTGTGTCATTTCTTCGTATTTGTTATCTTCTGTTTGTTTCGGCGAAATATTTTCGGAGAAGAAAGCGCTGTCTTCTGAACCGTTTGACTCGTGTTTATGCGAAGAATGACCACTGCTTTCGGATATATTATCACAATTTAAACTCATATTTGAAAACTTCTGTTCCGTCGAGGAATTGATGTCATCCGAAGCCAAGTCTATGACATCTGTATTGACAGGTATTCGACTCGGTTTTGGCGGTGGACTCGATGGCGCGTCTCTTGTGGTGTTGTCTTCACTGGAAAACGACTCAATTGTTGCCGAATTGTATTTCATTTCAACCAAATCTCCCGGAGTTTTGTCTTTCAATAAAAGACAATCAATAAGAGTATAAAAAGACATAAAACTAGAAATACTTTGAAAGAACTGAAGACCAGATAAGGGTTGAGTCCGATTGACCTTAAATTGCATTCAAATGATAATTTAAAATCAAATAAATACGGTTTGTTTGTATGCATACCGGGGTTGTGATGACTGCCATTGAGGCCAAACTGACGGGTCGTTTGTTTCCGACATAATATGTGATCAAATCAGTGATCGAGTCGAAGGAGTCGTCTTCGAAAGAGTAGCGAATTGTCTGGTAATCGGTGTTTGCGTTCAATACGACCCTCGAGATCACAAAATGAAGACAATGCGGACCACTTCTGGTGGACAACACGTATTCATCGGGTCTTGAGCTGCAATTCCTCACCAGAAACTGTCCGCTCGTCTCCAACAAGTGCTCGGCTTTGGATCGAGCGATGGGTCCGTGAAACCAGCCGTTGGACCGCATGTCTGTCCAACTCAACGACAACTCCCACTCGAGTCGCTTCCGGCTCACCACCTCTTCGTACGAATCCGTGTCCATCACTGGCCATCAGTCTCAGTGACAGTCCATTGCCATGAGTAGCCGTCAAATGGATGGTTCGTGTGATCACTTGAATGTCTCGTCAATTGTGGTCCAGTCGGACACAGACTGCCAAACATGCAAAGAGTCGACAAAAGTGTTTTGATTTGCATTCAATTGACCGCTAATTCAATTGCATTCACAGTCACCGCACATATGACTGACAGCCCAGAGATGACAACCCATTCGTACATTCAATTCACTGCTCTATTACTCTATGTTTAACACAATTGCAACTCAATTATAAGCAATGGATTCACTGAATGGCAACAATCTATTCAATGCCTGAATTCAATCAACTAAATAACTGCCAATTTAAACATATTTCGCCACAAATTGTGTTTCAGATCTAATAAATGGTTTTGACTGTAGTTTTAGAGCAAATATTTGGGAGAAATAGAGAGCAATACTTGACTCCCGTTTGCGTTTCATGCAGTGAATGTGGAAATACAGTATAGATTTCATACGATATTCCTCTCTATCTCTAGATTTTGATCAATTATTTAAAGTTATGTCAGTTTTAGCACATCTGGGCTCACATTCTCCTCTTATAAATGAATTAAACTTCTGTTACAAACCATAACATCTCTGAGAAATAGTTTTTGTTTGTTTTGCTACAACTTTTTTGCACATTTTCTGGTCACTTAAGCTTCACTTTATGTCTAAACAGCAATTGAAAGCAATTATTAATGGAAATATTTGATTGAATTCAATGATAAATGTCCTTAAGGTGTCATTTAATGCAAACAAATGATGGATTGTTTGCTTTTAACAAATGATTCAATGATTGCAATATAAAAGTCGTAAAAGTTTGGCTTCTGATTGAAGTGCAAGGGTTGGCACATATGATGGTTCGTATTGCTTGAGAAAAGCTTTCAAACCTATCATTAGTTTTGAATGAAAACTTTTGATGTGATTCTCAGGACATGATTATTATGCAAATGACCACAAACTGACCCTTTTTATAGTGACCTCAAATTGTTACGCATATGAGTCACTGCAATGGCCTTCACCAACACTATACTACCCCTCCCTTCGCTACCACTAATTGAATTAAATTTATAAAATCATTTAAATTCAACTCAAAAGGGAACACATTATTAACAATTGAGGCCTTCCTGTAAGGGTTGGGTATCTCTGGTAATGTCTGTCCCTTTGTTACATCAAATTGTGGCCAAACCTCCAAATCATTTCAGACTTTTCAAAGTTTTGCGAAGAATTCAATGCAAAACAATGATTATATTTAAAGTAATGATAAGTGAAATAATTGACATTTTATTCAAATTATGTGTTGACTAGCATTACATCTAAAATTAAAAGTTGAATACATTTGTTATTAACATTTATTTTTATTGTTTTATTCATTGATGTGTTGTTTCATTAAAAGTGTATTTATATTCAAATTATACCAAACTTGAAACTCGTCTAAAAACTGACTTCCGATTTAGGGAACGGATGCCTACCTAAAGGATTGTATCATACAATTTGTATGCAAACACTTTTGTTTTACTTTAATAAGTTGTTGAATGCATTTTCGGTATTTGCCATATAAACAAACATTACTGTAATTCAATCTATCAACACAATCCGGGTTATTTCAAGTATTTCAGACCATAATTTCAATAAACATCAATTGTTTTGCCTAAACAAGTAGTTCTCATCGATTTACACATGTAAACATAATTACGATATGTTAGCAAACATTTGTCAACATTTCAAGTTTTCTCAATCATAGGCTCAAAAGTTTTGAAACTTTCGAAAACTTAGAACTTGAACCCAAAGCCATGCTAAGTGTGAGTCAACTAATTGACCAAATGTTATATGTTTGGGTCATTTGAGGTCAAACAGAGTCCAACCAACACTTGTCGAGTTCACAGCTATTTGTGAGAAAAGCCTGGCTTTCAGTCACAACCAAATGGTTTCACAATTCAATTATTCACTTCAATTATGCCTACATTTGAATCAATGCCTTGATTTGAGTACAAAACACAATAAACTCAACTCTTTTCTGTGTCTCACAAAACTGGCTAACAATCAAAACAATCAAAAACATTTTTTTTGTATCAAAAAAACTTTCAGTGCTTTTAAATGATACCAAAGTTTTTATGTTTTACTCGCGAAGCGTATCTTAATTTGAATTTAATTGTCTGAATGTGTCTTAAATGGGTTTAAAAGTTTGCGACTAAACTACAGTCCACTTATTATTTGGCTGCAAATTGTATAACTCATAAACATATCAAACATTTAAAATACTTTACTATAAGAAATATTTTCCGGATAATTAATTTATTTATTGATTAGGAAGTACCATGGTCAACTTGGCAGCACCTGAACCCGGCAATCATACAGAGGACTAAAGAGTGGTGAGTAATCCAGTGACTCACTGGCAGTGAGTAATAGAGGTTTGACTGTATGTATAAAAACTTGCAAATCAAGTCTCTATCGATTCATTCATGCATTTCCACTGTTTTACAGTAAACCTTTGCATACCTGTGCAGTTGGCGTATGTGTGCTAAACAGGTGGGCATTAGTGGTCCCTTTTGAGACAGTGTACGCTCGTGGGCAGAGGTGTTCGAAAAGGTATGCGTGTCTGAGTGCTGGTTAGGGTGTTGTGTGTTAGCGTTTCATGCATTGTTGTGTGACAATAGGACTCGCATTGATTGTTCAGCGTTTGCATTGACTGTAAGCCACAAACACAACAAAATGGTTGACACGAGAAGTAGTCATCTCTGGATTAGTCAAGTGTTTCTCATATGAAGTGATGGTCAGACATAACGGCATAACAAACACTCATTAATAATGCAATTAATTGTCGTCTCATTGCGTATAACGACTACTCATCCACTCATTCATTCACTCATGTGTTCAGCGATCAAGTGATCACTAGTTTTGCGAAATTCATTCACTTTTTGATGCTTTTTGTGATGAAAACATATATTTTCCAAAAGTAATACAAACAACACAAACAACTGCAACACATCTGTGAAGCAATAATTAGTTCATTAGTGAGTATTCATACATATCTTTCATTCACTTTTTGATGCTTTTTGTGATGAAAACATATATTTTCCAAAAGTAATACAAACAACACAAACAACTGCAACACATCTGTGAAGCAATAATTAGTTCATTAGTGAGTATTCATACATATCTATAACACAACCGTCTGTACGACACATGCTGTCTGTCACTCATTCACTACCTGTGCCTCTGTTTGCCATACATTCACTCAACCGACCCGTCGTTCCCGTTCACCAGTCGGGCCACCAATCAGTGCACTGTTGCCGCCAATTGTGTCCAAACCCTCCCATCAATCGGCGAAAGTGTGTTACTGTCGGTAGTGTTGAGTCGAGTTAGTGGACGCCCGCCTCCCCCTCCCCTGCCGTCAGGTGTGATGTATTACCCGTGAATGGCCAGTGATTGCTGTGTCCCTAACCCAAACCCAAACCCAAACCCAAACCCAAACCCAAACCCAAACCCATAACCAACGGCTACTCCATAGCCATAGCCGCTCTCGTGTCGGACAGCCTCTGCTCTACTGACGCAATGAATGTCTGAGTTATGCGTTGTTTATGAATGACTTGTTTTGATTGCAGCTCTCAGTCACTAACACATCACCAATAGATCCCAAGAACTGAATGTT